TGAACGACAGATCCTGCCCATCTGACCCGAATTCGATTCTCCAGGCCAGCACACATAAGCCGCGACTTTCCTTGTTCCGCACAGTTATACAACATGAAAAACACTTTCCAGCGACAGCAGTGGGATGAGACAAATCGGGGCTATTAGCTTTGGGAATTTACCCCCACCACATCATCACTGCCATTACCAGTTGGTTGCCATTTCGCTTCTTTTGGTTCTCTCTGCAAACTTTCAACCAAATATATTCGTTCAAACTTTTGTAAGTCAGCCTATGAACACTTATTCCTAGGTACGGGAGTGAAAAAGGAGAGTGATTTTTCACGTTTAGCTAGATTCTTGGCATTTTTTGTGCTTACACATCAAAGGCTGTTGTATTTTTGCTCAAATCGGAATATTATCCGATTAAAGCGAACTTGTACTGAGTGAATTTCTGCAGTTTCTGCCACACGGTGAGCCAAAAAGTCGAAAAAATGCTTGTGATGGGGCCGAGTGCCGGTGTCTTCTGCTATGCGAATGTAAGAGCCGGTTCCACGATAACTGCACAAGCCTCAGACCCTCAGAACATAAGAAGTGCAGCAACACAGGAGGTGTCTGGCTCTATATATTGTGCTGTTCGGATACTTGCACTCTAGCAGAAGAGGCAAAAGCACTTCTAAATAAGGCAACCAAGAAACCATCATCAATAGCCAAGGTGGGTAACTGTGACAGTGATGACGACACAGCACCCATTTAGCGCGCAGATTGCTATGCAAAATTTTAAGACCATCCCACGACAGACTGTAAGTTGGATGCGTAGGGTACCTACTAGGTTTCCTGACAGCAACCTAAAAAAACTGCACCAAGCAGGGTGAAGAGTATCTTCTGGTTCTCGCATACGTAGAGCTGGCAGACCCAGTCTGAAAACTGCTAACGTAAGACCAGATCTACTTCCCGTAAAAGAAACGGAAGTGAAGCGCTCTCAGTTTCAACGACAGAACCATGCAGGCCGCAGATCATATCCAGTTCGACGACCTAATCATTGACAAGAACCAGACAGAATGGGATGCAAGTCCCTTCCGAGGCTCTCGGCCTCAAGGTCACTGGACTAAACTTTAGCAAACTCTGCACACCCGACTCTGAAAAATGGCAAGTAGCTAGGTCTAGACGGCATGCTAGGAAGCCAATAATGGTCACTGAACCCGCTGTTATCACCCAACACAGCAAAGACAGTACAGCTCTCTGATAGGTCCATAATCTTCCGCAGGGTTCGCGAAGGTAGAGACACAAAACCGCGTAAACTTTTTGAACATGACCTTGGCAAGGTACGAAAATTGATAAACCAGCCTTTGCCGGAAAACATGCAAAGAGTCACCCAACTCAAGATGTATACATTAGGAAAACAGGAGACAGTCATTGCCGGAAACAAGTTTCGGCTACTTGAAGTTGTGTTCAAGCCAGCAGATGAGAGGAACCAGACGCTGATGAATGCTCACAGGCTTCAAGGATCTGGAGTATTCGCGCGAAAGGATTTGGCACTTGCTGATCGAATCAAAAAATGAGAAGCAGAAGCACAACTAAGAGAGCATGATCTGGAAGTAGCGGGTTTTCGTGCGGTGGTGTTTCGGCAACAAATGATGCCGAAGCCTCCATGGATAGGACGGAAACTCATCTAAATACTTTCTTTGTCTTGCACACAAATGCAGGTAGCCATTTAAACAGGTAAACTGAACTCAGTGATGTGATAAACAACGAAAGCCCTGATATCGTTGCTATCTTAGAAACTTGGCTGCCTTCTTGGATCATTGACTGTGAAACATACTTGCTTGGATTCGTCCCTTTCATAGGTGACAGGTTAGCAAAGGTGGTGGTGTTATCCTAAGTTGAGAATACCTTAGCTGTAAAAGCCACAGAAACAGTTGCACACGAAGGTGGGACATGCGAAATGCCGCGCTGCCGACTAAAATCCAAGTGGCAAGATGTTAACCTAATCGTAATATATCGAAGTCCTGAATGTGAGGCAGCAGACTTCTTCCCTGAATAAGCTGATGTTGTGTACAGGTAAATGCCAATGTCTAGTCGTAGGAGACCTCAGCAAGCCATCAGTTGACTGGGATAGACCAACAACAAAAGCACCACGTAATCCGGTTGACCACAGGTTAGTAAACATCAACCTCCTGAGCCCTTATACAGCACATTAGGACACCAACCAGATATGACCACCAGCATGCTCCATCAGTTTTAGACGTGGTATTCTCGCATACAGATATAAGCTTCATCCGGCACCTAGCACCCCCTAATAAAAGTGATCATGCTGTGATCATCTTCAGATTCACAACAGATATCTTGTACCGGGCCGATGCCCCAGCTAGACTCAAGATATGGAAGGCTAGTACGGAAGCTATTAGCCCAGCAGCCTTTTCAGAGGATAGGACTGTCACCCAAGAAGCTTCAGCTGAAGGTGCATGGTGCTCCTTGAAACGGTTATGTGCACGGGTGACCCAACCGTTCATTCCGTGGAATGCCCCGAGGGGATAGATACACTGTCCTCCTTGGATAAACCATGAAGTCCAAATCTTGCTACGGCGCAAGAAGAGGTTTTGAGGTCTTACCACCCACCCTGGCACGCCCGAAGTGGTGAAGCATTACAAACAAGCTCGAAACAAGCGTACCTCTACCATCCGCTAGTCTCAAATAGGCATTGAAACACGTCTTCTTCCCGCTGCATTGAAACATCTAAAGAGGTTATTTCCCCATATGAACTGTGGAAATAAGATGTGTAGTGGTATACCCACCCTAATCAGTGGGACCGAAACTGACTGTTTGATTGAGGATGATAGGAAAAAGCAGGAGTCATGGCTGCATATTTTGCTAAGGTCTTCACACGGGCATCTTCTGCCTACACTTGGTCAGCAGTAGAAACATTGGGATCCAGCAGAATAAACTGTGGATGTCGATCACAATGATGCATCTCGGATGCTAAGTAATCTCGACGTGGAAAGATCAGCGGTACCGAATGAGCCGCACCCAAGGCTGATTGAAGAGCTCGCACTCCATGTAGACTGCCCATTGACAATAATATTCAGACTCTCTCAGCGAAGGCCCATTCCTCTGTAGCTGGAAGGTTGCCATGGTAGCACCCATCCACAAGGTAGGTTCTAGCCAGCTCCCAACAAATTACAGGCCGATAAGTTCGACAAGCACTGTAGTGAAAATCTTAGAAAGGGTATTCAAGGAAGCCATCACGGTCCACCTAGAGAACAACACTATCGTCTCGTTCACAGCACGGTTTCCGCGAAAATTTCTCTTTCTTGACGAACCTCCTCACGATAAGAGAAAGCTGGGTTAAGTCTAAAGATGATAGGACACCAGCAGACATCATTTTCATAGACTTCAGTAAGGCGTTCGACAAAGTACCTCATTTCAGGTTGGTCGTGAAACTGGAAAGTTTTGGAATCTTTAGCAGTCTGCTCGCATGGATGGGAGAGTTCCTCATTAGTAGAAGGCAAAGAGTAAGGACCAATTCCCCACTCTCCACTTGGAAGTCTGTAGATAGTGGAGTGCCGCAAGGCACAATCCTGGGTCATCTGCAATTCCCCCTACACGTATATGAGCTGCCAAATATCACGAAAGCCCCTGTGGTTCTCTACGCTGATGATGTAAAAATCCGGCGGGAAATTATAAACGGTGGGGAAGTACATGCGCTTCAGGCAGACCTGAACAGCTTGTCTACTTGGTCAGAGGAGTGGCTGATGCCTACTAATGCAGGTAAATGTGTGAGAATGCACTTGGAGCACACACACACACACAGCAACACCTATGATTTTGATGGGACTCCTCTACCGTCAGTAGACACCTACAATGACCTAGAAGTCACGGTGAGTTATGACTTGAAAACTACGACACACTGTCCATTGGTAGCAGCTCGGAGTCTTAGAACTCTCTGGACATTACGTAGAACGTTTACGAAAATGAGTAGTGACAGGTTCACTATCTTACACACATCCTTAGGTATGACTAAATTAGAAAACTGTACACGGGCGGCTAATGCTCGTCTGAAAGGCGACATAGACCTTCGAGAAAGAGTTCAGAGGATAGCTACTCGTATGGCCCCTGCCATGGCTGATCTGACCTATTAGGATTGACTTAAGGAGCTGAACCTCTTCTCTTTGTCCTGTCGCAAACAGGGGGAAGATCTAATCATGACATACAGGATTGTAAAAAATGACTTCGGACCTGATCTATACTCACTTTTTCTTTTCACTGGATCGGGATATCTCAGTGGACATAGTAGGAGGGTACAAAAGGAAAGAACAAGCAGTCTCCACATAATACTGGTTCTTGCGTCAAATAATCATCTCCTGAAACCGACACCCAGAAGAAGTTGTGTCTGCATCGTCAATTGACTCATTCAAAAGGAGATTGAACAAGCACGAAAATCCACTGGAAAAAGAGCAATGCAGGTTCATAGCTTTCTATCCGCAAACAACAAATCTGAATCTGAAATATTGACCACATCAGCAGCTCAACGCCTACTGATTCACCAGAGATCAGCCTATAGCCTTCAGAAGAGAGCCGGAGGCAGGCAACTACAGCCTTGAAAGTTGTGTGCAGATGAATTGAGAAATCTTCTATGGGCACGAACTTAGTACAGTGGAGTGAAAGTTATCTTCCAAGAGACGTGTATGCAAGAATTCAGAATCCAAAGGGTTTATTTAATCTCAAGATATAAGTTGGTTTTTAGGAATACGATACCAGTTTATCAAGGTACAGAAACGATTTCTGGAAGCCATCATGAAAAGCCGAATTATGTAGATCGTACAGACTTCCTACTGTGGATCTCTGACTGTCGCACTAAAGTTATTGGGAAAAAAATAGTGTCTCGACAGACAACGAATAAAACATACATGTCAGCAGCTAGAAACTCAAGTATATTTTCAATAAGTTGAGTCGTATATCTAGGCGCCAACTATCTTGTTTGTCTTATCACAGAGGGCAACTCAAATATTTTGGATCAGCTGATCATGAGTTCTAGCGTGGTTGTCGCGCTAGTGAAGTTCTGCGAAACTCTTGCAGATAAGTCTGTTGATGTAACTTCGGTAAGCAATCTAGCAGAATAAAGACTTCAAACGTACGTATTTCTACATCGTCATGATAAATTCATCCTTTCGATGGGTTAAATAGGGTCTTAAATTTATTTGACTCATTCGTAGTACTAAGGAATCATGTCTATTAAAACTGGTATTCATAAGTTGAGCATTACCTTGATCGTCTTCTTTTGCCCAACGGCTGCGACACTAAAAATGTTGGACCTTCTGGGCATTGGTCTGTTTTCATGTTATGACATTACTGGTGAGAATTCTTAAAGGAGATAAATCATAAAAATCATCTACAACTTCCAGTTACTCAAAATACTCACTGCAAAAGGAAACGTCACAGTGGTGATCAGAGGTATTCTATATACTGCAGGGGGCATCTGTGTTCCGAATGTCTTCTTCATACTAATGAGAATCCGTATTGTGGAGTAGTAAGGATAAATATTTGTCATTCCCATTTAAAATGCGGGTATCATGAATCAGATCTAAGACTAATTTGGCTTGTGAACTATTTGGTAACCTTTGGTTCGCCTAAAATCCATATTTTTAAATGTGATTTACCGATAGATATGTTCCATGGGTTTAACATCATTTACATTTGGGTGACTCCTACAGGTACTCATTTCAGCCGAGTTCAATCACCACCGTTCGGTGAGTTTCGTTTCATAGTATTGACTCACGTTTAATGCGGTATGTCTTAGTCTACTGTCGGCAGTGTTCTGTGCTGTATGATTCTTAGGACTGTTTGTATCAAAATGACAGTGACAGATCACTTTCTCAAATGTTGGTTACTCCATGACCATGTAATATCGATCTCTTTCCGTAAGGATAACCTCAAGGAGTATACTGTTTCTCTGTGACATCTAATGAACAGATTAAAGTTGAATTTCAGTCTGCAACAGTGCCGATGTCTTACTCCTGTGCTAATAACCCAAAGGGCTATAATATAAGTTGTATGGATTTGGATAACTACTGTATCATCGAATATCTCATGACCAGCTAATCATGCATATCATTAATATGTCTTCTCTTCCCATCCATCCTAGGTTCCTGCCTGTGATTTTGGTGGTTAAAATTGTTGTTCCGAATTCCTTAGTTGAGGAAAGTGTCGCGACAGACAGCATAGTTTGTTAGAAATTTGCGATTAACTTGTCCGCTTCGCAAAAGGCGCATGTTTCTCCGTAATGTCATTTTTCCAATAATCGAGGGAACATTTTTACTGTGAACGATCTTACTGTGATTTGAAAGCACCAGTGCAACAGCTAGACAAGCTTTCTTTTGTGTGAAAATGTTTTTACGGAATTCAAGAACCACGTGCATAATGCAGAGTACTAAATAAATTTGCGATTGTAATACAGCCTTGCGGATGATTGTTGAGTTGCGTTTCACTTTTGTCTGATTAGTTTAAGGATATTCAATATTAATTACTTTTGAATATCAAACCCCATTTATTTCGCAAAACTGAACTTCCATCCTCACGCAGGTTAAGATTTTGTCCTCAGCTAAGTGGGACTGATTTCTTGCTGTCTATAAAACATTCATTTTGACAGAAATTTGTAAACTTCCACTGACAAGTAACTTGGACATACGTGTGCATGACGAGCCACTATGTCAGCGTGGTATGCTGTCTGTGAGATATAGCATAGACTGCTACGCAAGAATGCCACTTCCGATGCCAGTGCTGACACAGTGATACCTAAAATATGATTAAGCTGAAGTAAAGTCTAAAGTAATCACATCAAAACGTGGCATCTATCTATGAAGTGTGACTGTCAGTTTAAACCATAAAGGCAGGTGTGAGGTATCTGGCTGACGCCATCAGTTTGTTACGAATCAGTGGTAGGAGATTCTTGTTACCATATCTCGAATTCGGTCATTGTGGGGCAGATGTATGGGCTTTATCATCGAAATTTTGAGCATTTTGATTGACAGTCATTTGTCGTGTCTCTCGTTATACACTTTTTGATAACAGAAAAAACAAGAAAGCTGCAGTATGATCTCCAGTAGTTTATCTACTCTTAGTACGTAAGTAGTTTATAAACCAAGCGTAAGGGTTTAGGGACAAGAAAGTCAGTTAACACGGTTATGAACCTTCATCGACTGAGGAGTCTGTCTGTACGGGTGTTACACATGCATAGTTACTGTATCTTTCATCGAACAGTGTTAGCTGAAGTAGGTTCTCTTTGGTAGGAGGTTAAAAATGGCCAGACTAAAACTTGATACCGGTCTCTGATGCCTTTGAATGTTGATCTGAGCCGTATAGGGAAGTGTAGGCTTCCCAGCTTGGGTCCATGTGACAACCTGAGAACTGTCAGGTACCTGAAAAAGAAGTGGGGTTAGTAATGTTGGTGTGTGACTGTATAGCTTAAGCGACATCGGTGATTGGAGACTCTAGGTGATATGCCTCAGAATCGATCACAATAACGCAGGCGTTTCCACACATTATCTTTGTCGTCATGTTGAATTTCATGATTATCTCTTTCCACAACTTTCCACCACCATTGACTACATGTTTCCTTATTTCCCTATGTTTCATCTTGGTACCCTCGCACTTGATGTGCTGATATGAGGTATTTCAAAGTAGTACAGAGTTCCATGTTGAAATTGACTCATTGAACCAATTGCAACAATTCATCACCATGAGTGAGTGTAAGAACAGGCTTCTACCAGTCGTGTGGAAGTAATCTGCCCTTTGACGGTGCGAAGCACGTACCATACTTAGACACTGGTCGCCAATTGATCGATTACGACTTGAGTAGCCTGTATTTTATCGTACAATGCAATATCTTCCGCATGCTTGATGTCAGATTCTTTCATCTGTTAACAAGCTTATGCCTCTACCACAAAATCTGTCTCAAGAATGTTAGGGATACTGAAGTTATTAAAGATTGGCTAAATCTGACAGCCCTACCTAATTCCACTTAGATACAGTTACAAAAGTTTATATGTTCTTATTGTCATATACTTTGCCGTCAAGATGTCATAAAACTCAGTCACTTCCCTCTAACACTTAATTCTTGAGCAGAATCCTATCCAGGTAGTTGGAGTCAGCTTTAATATCGAGAAACAACAATCATTGACCTGAAAATGTATGGCTGTGTTCGAGCCTCTTATAGATGGGTAGTCAGTACGTTTACAGCCTGAACAAGACATGTTTCGCTCCTCGCAGATCAGCTTTTCACACTCGAAGAGCCTGAAAAGTATGACAGTAACTAATATTTTAGCCGCTACTGGTAGCAGACTGATCCCTTTATGTTTGCTACATGCGTTACGTAAATCCTTTTAAAAAGATTGGGTACAATGGCTTCATTTTGGAATGATATTGCAGTCAATATACCATACTTTCCCAACATTATAGCTAGTTCCCTGATTACAGTTCCACCTCTATCCTTTTAAACAGTCAGAAGTAAGTTGTCTGATTCGGGTGTCAAATAGCGCTTCAGTACTTGGGTTTCTTTTCACATTTCCATTCCCTTAGTGCGAGACATTAAAGCTGATGTTGCTAAAACAGTAGAGCAGCTAAAATTACCTAGCGTATCAGGCGTTTACGAAGGTTGTTGATTAATGAACCGTCTACCTCGCAGACCGCCTTGAAAACAGGGTTTCTTACTGATGGTGATAACGCCCTACTACTGCTAAAGGCATCTGCTGCTTTCATCTCATCCACACACTTTGACTAAGCTTTACAGGCCTGACTTAGGTGCTGCATAGTCTGTTGCGTAGAGCACCTTCGTGTACTATTTTTCTGTGTGTCGAACGAGACCAATGAGTGTCAAGATATTTCGAAAAGCTCGCAGATATACGGTTTTCAGTAGCAGAACATTCTAGAAACCACGAGCATCCTTACTCGCCTTTTTGTGAGATGTTGTTGGTGCAGCCGATGCTCATCCATACTTGCGTGGGGTTCGATAGCTAGTTTCCCTTTAGTTTGCTAAGTGTATTGCAGCGAAACATTATTTCCTGACGTAACTTGTTACTTATAAAATCAGGGGAACGCCTTACTTTTGAAGCATGGTTTATGTAGTCCTTGTGCCTTCTTCTGTGATATGGATAGTAGTATTTTCCATGCGTCTGGAACAGGTGCTGAGCCTTTTCCTATTGTGTGTGCCTGGGTCTTATTCTTTTACTCGATGGCTATCCTTGAATCCAGCTTGGTTTATTATCTGGTTGCAAGACGCAGAGCAGCTAATTTCCTTACATCGATTTGTTTAGGACAATGAATTTGATGGCCACCCAAACTCAAGGTGAATGTAGCACACACTAAAGTCTGATCGAAGCTAAACACTTTATGTGGAAAAGCACCAGTCTTGAATACACCCACACCATCAGCGTCGAATACCAGCCGGATCTGTTTGTATCGAAGTTTGTGCGGAATGGAGATGACTTTGGTTAGTGCAATTGTGGTGGCTGTACTAGAAGTTGGTGCTAGCTAGAAATCGGCTTTAATCTGCACAGAGCTGCTTGAAACGATCCCTACCATCCAGTTATCAGCATAATGGTTCCTGTTAACCACCTTAACCACTTCCTCCTGAGTTTGGATAGGAGTAGCTGTGGCTCATTGATCTCCATCTATCCATCCAAATCATTACTGCGGAACGGTCCGAGTTGCCACAGCTGATATCAGTATACCAAGTAAAAAGACAGTGAAGTGGAAGATGAAGAAAAGAGAGTTCAGTCAGAAGAAATATAAAACACTAAAAGAAAGAAAAGAAGAATGAGAAAATGGTGAGATTCGGTATAGCGTCGCTAAGATGAGGATAGTGTGTGTATGCATCTGCGCCACTGACTTTGATTTTGAGCTATATCACCTAGAGTCTCCAACCACTGGATCCTCTTGTCCCGTGGACCCTAACCGACTGGTCTGCATCGCCCCATATGGCTCAAATCAAAGTCAAAGATTTCATACATTGGCGTCGTGTTTTGGTCTGGCCGTCTTGGGCCTTTTTCCAGCCTGAACCCACCTCAGCCAACATTGTGTGACGAGGCGATTGGCGACTAGGCAT